GGGATCATGACCCAAGCTGAAGGCAGCCACCTAACTGACTGAGCCACCCAGGCGTCCCATAGTTTTTCACAATATTCTCTTATGATTGTATTTCTGTGGTGTTGGTTGTTATTTTTCTCTCTCATCTATGATCTTATTTGTTTGAGTCCTTTCTCTTTTTTTTCATGACAAGTCTGGTTAGAGGTTTATGAATTTTTAAAATTTTTTTTCAAAGAACTAGCTCCTGGTTTTATTGATCTGTTCTATTTTTTTTTTTTTTTTAGTTTCTATATCATTTATTTCTGCTCTAATCTTTATTATTTCCTTCCTTCTGCTGGTTTTTGGTTTTGTTTGTTGTTCTTTTTCTAGCTCCTTTAGGTGTAAGGTTCAGTTGTTTATTTGAGATTTTTTCTTTCTTGAGGTAGGCCTGTAGAGCAATATATCAACTTCCCTCTTATAACCACTTGTGCTGCATCCCAGAAGTTTTGGACTGTTGTGTTTTCATTTTCACTTGTTTCCATGTACTTTTTGATTTCTTCTTTTATTTCCTGGTTGACCCATTCATTGTTTAGTAGTATGCTTTAACTTTATGTATTTGTGGTCTTTTCAGATTTTTTCTTGTGGCTGATTTCTAGTTTCATAGCACTGTAGTCAGAAAAGACACACCGTATGATTTCGATCTTCTTGAATTTGTTGAGTTGTTTTGTTTTGTGAGCTAATATGTGATCTATCCTGGAGAATGTTCCATTTGCACTTGAAAAGAATGTGTATTCCTCTGTTTTAGGATGGAATGTTCTGATTATATCTACTAAGTCTTGGTTTAATGTGTCCTTTAAAGCCACTGTTTCCTTGTTGATGTTCTGTTTGAATGATCTGTCCATCAATGTAAGGGGGGTGTTAAAGTCCCCTACTATCATTATATTATCTATTCATTCTTTCATGTTTGTTATTAACTGTTCTATGTATCTGGATGCTTCTGTATTGGGTGCATAAATATATATAATTGTTATATGCTCTTTTGGATTGTTCCCATTATTATTACATAGTGTCCTTTTTGTCTCTTGTTACAGCTGCGTTTCAAAGTCAATTTTGTCCCTTGTAAGTATTGCTACTCTGGCTTTCTTTTGCCCATTGTCCACTATTTTAAAACTTTTTTTATATGTTTTTTTATATATATTTATATATTTATATATATATATATATACTTTTTTAAGTTGTTTAAAGCACTAGGGCAAGTCCCATATCAGTTACTCTTTCATAGGCGGAAGCAGAAGTCCATCCTGCCTTTGGTTTTTTTGTTTTGTGTTGTATATTTCTTTTTTCTTTTTTTCTTTTGGTTAGTTCTGTGTTTTAATACTGTGTTTCTGACAAGACTTTCACTTTTCCCCTTACAACACAAACTTCATTCACCCTGTTTTACACTCACACTTAAAAAAGAAGTTAGAAGTGCAGAAACTAGTTTTAGTCATTTGGACATAAGCACAGTGGTGACTGAAAATATAGACTTTCAAAAAGACTTTCCCGGCACCTGGGTGGCTCAGTTGGTTGAGCGACTGCCTTCGGCTTAGGTAATGATCCTGGAGTCCCAGGATCGAGTCCCACATCGGGCTCCCTGCTCAGCAGGGAGTCTGCTTCTCCCTCTGACCCTACCCCCTCTCATGCTCTCTCTCTCTCTCTCATTCTGTCTCTCAAATAAATAAATAAAATCTTAAAAAAGAAAAAGACTTTCCCCCAAAGTGCATACCTTTGAGAAAGAAAAAAACTGTAGTTGGATGCAGTAGCTCTTTGTATAACTTAACCTGCTTACAAAGCTATTTTCATTTATAGAGTTGTATTGTCTGTACTGTTACCAGTTATTTCTAAGCGCAAAATGTTTTAGCAATCTATATTAGCAAGCAGAGTAAACGTGCTTTGAAAGGCTCCAAATGCAAATGTAAGCTAATCCTCCAAACGTTTCTATTCTGCACAAGGGCACATGGCCTCTAGAGTTCCATTCCCTAGCTTGCCCTCCCTTCCCTGGGCTGCTACTATGGAAGACTTTTTCAGATAGGGTTGAGGGGCTCCATTTGTCATTCTGTCTTTCGTATGGGATTCTGTCTAAGGTAATTTGGCATCTCATGTCCCATTTCTTTTGATATTTCCTACTTACAGTTAAAAGGCAGTACAGATTTTGGAGTCAGACAGACTTGGGTAATTCAAATATACTGGACTTCATCAAAAACAAGGACCTGCTACTGTTGTAACTTTCATCCTCTAGATTTTATTTAAAATAACTTTTGGCTCAAATACTACAGATTTGTAAAAAAGCATTTTGCCTTTGTAATATTCTCTACGCTTATTACTATAGCTTAAAATGCCAGTGAAATAAACGTGCACTGATTTTAATGCCCCAGCAATTAGTGCCATGTAAGGTTAGAGTATCCAATGTCAAAAGAAAGACTAAATCAGTAGGCTCAAGATTCCTTCCTATAGGTTTCTTTTACCATTTTTCCTGAGGTGACATTCACTAACATCAAATCAATTATTTAAAAGTGTATAGTTCAGTGGCATTTAGTTATTCACAGTGTTGTGTGACTACGATCTCTAATTCCAAAATAGTTTCATCGCTCCAAAAGAAAATCCTGTACCCATTAAGCAGTCAGTACCCATTCCCTTCTCCCCCAGCCCCTGGCAACCACCAGTTTGTTGTCTGTCTCTGTAGATTTACCTACTCTAGATATTTCATATAAGTGGAATCATATAATGTGTAGCCTTTTATATCTGGCTTCTTTCCTTTAACATATTATTTTTGAGGTTCATCAATGTGTAGCATATAGCTGTACTTCATTGTTTTTATGGCAGAATACTAGTTCATGGTTTGGATATACCATATTTTGTTTATCCATTCATCCACTGATGTACATTTGGGTTGTCTCTGCCTTTTTTGACCATTGCGAATTGTGCCGCTGTGAATATTTGTGTACGTGTATTTGAGTACCCATTTCCAATTCTTTGGGATATACTGAGGAGTGGGATTTCTGGATCATATGATAATTCTGTGTTTGACTTTTGGGGGATGCTTTTGGCTTTTTTCTCCAAGGGGAAAGACACAATCAAAGAAATGGGAGTTGAGAATTCATGTGAGCCATGCAGCCAACCCAATTTTTGTCTGTCCTACTCAGCCAACCATTTACCTTTCACCTCTTCTACCAGCAAAGACAGATGAGTGCTGTGGGTCCTTTACACCTCTGGCCTCTGTCCCCTAGGGCTGTGTCTGGCTGTCCCTGGGAAAACTGTGAGGTGGTGCACCATCTCAGATCATGAGGCCAGTAAGTGCTCCAGTTTCAGTGACAATATGAAAAGAGTCCTTCCAGCGGATGGTCCTCACATCACCTGTGTGAAGAGAACCTCTCACCTCGAATGTATCAAGGCCATTATGGTAAGTTGCAGCTGCCTACAGGAGAGTGGAAGAAAATCCATACTTCCTTTTTCTGTGCTTGTTATTGTTTATTGCTTCAGAACAACTTTCTTCCCACAGGAACTAGACCATGCTTTGCAGGAGAAAGAAATAAGCTGAAGACCTGAAAGTACAGGGACTGTGTGTAGAAAAAAATATAGGTGCTCAACGTTCATTAATAGTAAAAACAATAGTAGTAATTAAATGACTAATAAAGAAGGATTCAGTAAAAATGCCTGCCATAAAACAAAGCCAGAACTGCACTGGAAAAATCCATAGTCAGAAATAAACAAGAAGCTATAGTGTTACCGTTATTACTTAACATTGTTTTTGGAATTTCCCAGTAATGCAGTAAGATACAAAATGCATATGAGGTAGAAAGAAACAAATAAAATATCAATATTTTCAGATGATTGCATGCCTGGAATGTACAATGGGGTCAAGAAAAATATTACTATAATTATTTATTAATGAATAAATTAGTTTGACAAAAGATAAACATATCACAATGTCATTGTTGTGTATCAGTGGTCATTAGTTGGGGTAAAGTTGCCCAAAATTGTGACTCATTTTCATTTAAAACAATATACTGTAATTCTATTATACTATAATATATTCTATAATATAATAGAAAAACATTTCAGGAAAAAAATCATAGGAGAGATCTGCAAGATTGTTATAATACAGAAGTCTAGGACAAATGAACATTTATTTTATTTATTTATCTATTTATTTACTTTTTTTAAAGATTTTATTTATTTGCCAGAGAGAGACAGTGAGAGAGGGAACACAAGCAGGGGGAGTGGGAGAGGGAGAAGCAGGCTTCCCACGGAGCAGGGAGTCTGATGCGGGGCTCGATCCCAGGACCCTGGGATCATGACCTGAGTGGAAGGCAGACGCTTAATGACTGAGCCACCCAGGCGCCCCATGAACAACATTTATTAATGAATTAAAACATATGCCGTATTCCTAAATGGGAAGACTAAATATCATATACTTGCATATTTTCCCAAAGAATAAGTTTAATATAATTTTGATCAAAATACAGTCTTTTTAAAAAGAATCAGTTGAATAATTATAAAATCCTAAGGAAAAGCAAATGGAGAAGAATATGAATAGTATTATGAAAAAGAAAATTAGCAAGGGAGTGGCTGAGGCCTACCTGAAACTATAAAATATAAAAATAGCAGTGTTACAGAGACCAGGGTCCTAGTGTAGATGTAAGAGACCTGGAAGAGAACAAAATTCACACATATTTGCAGCTTTATTTACATACATTCATCCATCTACTTGTCTATGTGATATGATACGGATGTCAACTACGATCAATATCCAACATCAGGGCACTAGGGCCCTAGGTTTAATAAATTTAGGTAAGATATGTGTAGATTTACACAGATATGTATGATAAGGCAAACTTTCTAAACAAATGGCTGAGAAAAGATTTCTTTAGCTGGACAACTGGGTAACTATTTAGCAAAAAAATCAAGTGAAATGTTTAATCCATTTACCAAAACAAGCTTTCAGTTTGACTCAATTTGACTAATATAGATAGACATCACAAGATAAATTGCAGAGGTAAATAAATTTGGAAATGAAAAATTATAAGTCTCTGGCAAAAAATTTTTTAAAGCCTTAAGCATCTGAAAATGTATTCACCTCAGCTATGACAAAACACCATAGTGCAAAAACTAAAGATGGCATTTAAATTTATAAGAAACGCTTAAGAATAACAAGCTATACACAAACCATTCACAGAAAAGAAATTGTAACTAATAAATAATATAAACGGTAAAGGAAAAGTGTTCATCCTTTTTAATAATCAAATGCAAATAAATGCAAATAAAGCCATTTCTTAAAGTAACAGTTTATACCTAGAAATGTAATAACATTTCTTAAATGATAGCATTTCTTTCTGGTAGGTTTCTGTGACATTAGGATACATTGCTATTGGCATTATAAATGATAAATTGTGTCATTTCTGGAAAACAATTTGGAAATATTCAGTAAGAGTCATAAATATGCATACAAACTTTTATTTATTCTTCTCTAATTCATCTGTGAGTGGGGGGAATGATTTGTTACAAGAATTTGACCTTATACAATTGTGGGAGCAGGTTAAACTTCTCTATGACAGTACTGTCTTTGACCTGCTCTTGGAGCTTGAGGAGGAGGCTGCCAGGAAGGGAAGATGTATGTAAAGTGGGGGAAGAGCAAGAACAATCTAGAACCTCAGTCTTAACCTGGAGCCCATGGGCGTGAACTGAAACCCATATCTGTAATTGCTTCTGACCTTGACGGTGTTCATTAGGCGCAGGGGCCTTCTTATCCTTTTACCTTTATACTAACTCCTTCTTTTTCTCAAATTAATTTAAGTTGGGTTCTGATACACGCAACCAACAGAGTATTAATTATATATAATACATACATATGTAAATACATAAGTGTGAATACATGTGTAAGAAAAAGATGGGATGGGTCAAAAGGAGGCAAGTATATAGAAATGCAACACTAAGTTCAGAAAAAGCCTAGTTACTTCAAACGTCAATTAATAAATGAATTTAAAAAATGATTTCCATGATGGGTTGAGAAATGATCCAATCTCATTTCTGAGAAGAGGCTGTGAGGTTGCTGCTTCTCACAAGAAGGAAGGAATGCTGGGCTGACTGACATACTTGAAGAGGGAATCCAGATGTATGAGTGCAAACCATGACGTCTTATGGATAGAAATATTCGACAATTCACTCATTCACTTATCCAGCAAATGTTTATTGAACACTTACCTGTAGAAGGTGCTTCTCTGGGTACAGTAGGAACCTTAAAAGGAAAACACACACACACACACACACACACACACACGTGTCCCCACCTTGGTGGAGCTTACATTCCAAAGAGGAAGGCAAGCAGTAAACAATGAAAGTTTGTCAGGTGGTTGATAAGGGCTAAGGAAAAAACAGAGGGGAGTCCAACATTCATGCATGAAGTGGTAGTTTTAAGATATGGTTGTAGAGAGCCTCGATGAGAAGGTGACCTTTGAGCAAACACTAGGAAGGGAAGGAGGTCTGACCCATGCAAGTATCTATGGGTCAGACATCCCTGGCAGAGGGCTAGGTTAGGGGCTCCCTTCATGGTCTGGTCTCTTCTCTTTCAGGCAAACGAAGCAGATGCTGTGACCCTCGAAGCAGGTTTTGTGCTTGAAGCGGGGCTGCCCCCCTTCAACCTGAAGCCTGTCGTGGCAGAATTCCATGGATCAAAAATTGGTGCGTTCTCCCTGGGGCCCCAGGTCTCTGATTTGACACTGCAGCCATCAGGGAGAAGGCAGAGTCTCTGTCAACATTGCACCTGAAGGGAACAGAATGGCTGGAGCTCTTTGGGTCAAAGGAGGCTGTCATCTACACTGCCCCACAAGGGCTGGAATGTTGACTCTTCCTGGGAAGCTGTGAACTGTGTGCATCCTGGTGGAAGTACCCTTGGTGCTGCTGGATAAGGGGGGGGGCAGGGCTGTCTGGGGTCCATTGCCCACCCAGTGGGGCTGCACCATTGGAAGGCCCATCTCTGGAGACACACAGACCTGGACAGGCTCTTCCCTGTGCTGAGTCCCCAGCAGGTGCTACAGAACATGGGTCTGTGAATGCCGTGAAGAGAGGTTTGTGGCGGGCGGGGGGGAGGGTTGAAGAATAACGCTTTGCCTCCTCTCCATACTTGTCCATAGTGTCATCAGGGTGTGCGTGAGCACAGCCCAACTCAATCAGACTCCAACTTGCAGAGCCCTGGCAAAATCCTGGGGTCTCCCCTGCATCCGTCCTCTCAGACCTTCACCATTGTGTCTGGGCTGCAGATGGAGAAGCAGAGAAGGGAGAAAAGCCTTTGGAGAGACAGAGTAACATCACAATGACTGGGAGCTGAAGATCTCCCTGAGGATGCCCTGCAGGCCCTGTAATAGCTGGTGGCCCCCACCCCCATGTCTCTACTGGCTTGGATGGGCTGGCAGAAAGACACGAGTGTTTACTGCCTTGAAAAGGGACCCCCCCCCCGCCATTAATCAAAGGCTTTTTTCTTTTCCTTTTCTACCTGTTCACCAGGGAATGGTAGAGATGCTAGGATTCCCTAAAGTTGCCTGCTGCGCACACGCTGGAAGATGAGCTAGTGACAATGTGGTATCTTCCTTTAGCCTTTAGCCCTTCTTTCTCTCTGCTCCTTTGCAGATCCACACACCTCCCATTATGCTGTGGCCGTGGTGGAGAAGGGCAGTGACTTCCAGCTGAAACAGCTCCAAGGCAAGAGGTCCTGCCACACGGGCCTAGGATGGTCGGCTGGGTGGTACATCCCCATGGGGATACTTCTTCCTTCTGACTCTGTTGAAGAAGGTAAGCTGGCTAAGGCTGGGTGCCCTCAGGCGGGACTCCTACTCCAGTCGCCTACAGGGATTGTAGTGGGGCCATACAATCACTATCAGGCGTATCAGTTTCATGAACTGCAAGATGGGGTGAGGGCAATCTGCTTTAAATGTGGTTAGCTGAGTTTGCTGCAGCAGCAACCCCTGGGAACTGGCAGCTGAGTCTTCTCTCAGCAAAGGTACCTTGGTCTCTGAGCTCTCGACAGCCCCATACTCATTGTAACCCCAGCGGTTTGGCTTGACAAGGAAGGTCGCTGAGGCTCACGACAAACAGGAACTCCCTCTGGCTTCCCAGGAAGGCTCGCTAGGGATTATAACCACACCACCAGCAGTCAGGCCTCTGTGCCTGGGGTAAGGGCTTGGGATGGGGGCAAGAAGAGAAGAGTGGCCTAGAGCCATGATTTTTGTGTGTGTGTACTTCTTGTCTAGTTATGATGAGCCAAGCGAGCCTAGGGTGCCCCTTTAGCCCTTGAAAGGTGATGGCCAAATCTCTCTGTGCTTTTGAGGCCTGCCAACTCGGCAGCATTCATGTTTTGCCTGTAATAGGGACAAGGGGCTGCTGGGGTCAGATGGAGTGCTATAGCCTGGGCCGCGGCTGTGACTCTGTGCCATTTCTTGGGCTCTCCTCGCCTCCATGTCAGACACTGCTGGATGTCTGTGTGAAAGCTTGTGAGGTGGCTGTTGGCACACCCCCTTGCCCACCCCCGGGCAAGTTATCCCAATCCCCTCGCATGGCTTCCTGGAAGAGGAATCCCCACAAACTACCACAGCCCCTGGACCCAAAGGGGAGAGGAGTGGATGGGACCATGTCCTGAGGTAAGGAAGGGTGGTCGGAGTTCCCGCGGTGTCTGGGGTTCTGCCTGCCGCACTTAGAGCCTCCGTGGTGAGTTAACAAGGTGAGTGGCCCTGGGGTTGCAGCTTGTTTTCGTGTAGGTCAGCCGCCCTCGTGTCTCGAGTGGACAAGCTAGGAAGCATCTGGTGGGCTGGAGCCCCAGGCCCACACATTAGTGTGATACCTGAACACATGGGGACCCCGGGCCATCCACTTCCTCAGCCACGGGCACTGTCGGCCACCTCTGCTCATCTGCTTCCTCAGGATGGGCCTGGGAAGTGTGTGCAGCATCACGGGCTCTCACACAGGGCCCCGCTCACACACATGTGCAACCTGGAGGCCCCCAGCCGGTTCATGCCCTGAGGGTCTTATGTCTGTGTTAAGCAGCCGCAGCAGAAATGGCCCAGTTCTTCTCCGGCAGCTGTGTCCCCTGTGCGAACAGGGAGGTGTTCCCCAAGCTGTGCCAACTGTGTGCAGGGAAAGGGACAAACAAGTGTGCCTGCTCCTTCCAGGAACCATACTTCGGCTACGCAGGCGCCTTCAAGTGAGTGGGGACACCCCCCGCCAATCCCCCACTCCTCCTCGCTCTGATGGCAGGGAAATTAAGGTACAGGCAGTGGACAGGGCCTGCCCAGACCACCTAGGGTGTCAGTGTGAAACCCAGGGCCCTGAGTGCCCCCCATGGCCTGCCCTCACTCCTAACCATCCTGAGGAGCAGTCTTCTGTGTGGGAGCCCCTCTTCTCTCCCTACAGCCTAGGGTCTGTATGTTACCCTCCTGGACCAAGGAGGGCTGAAGGGACAAAACTATCTGGGACTCTGGGATTCACAGACACAGGCTTGGGCATCCAGCTGGGCCAAAGACCAGGACCTCCCGGCTTGCTTCTTTCTCCCTGAGCATCGCCCTGTGTCATGAACATGTGCCTGCGTCTCTCCGCCTCCCTCTCAGCCCCCTGCAGGCACCTCTCCATGTCTGTAAGAGACAAGGCTACTGCTCAAAACCAGAACAAAACTGTCCAGGAATCCAAGGCTATCCTAAGTTTTTATCCTCTGTATTAGGCTTTATTAAAAGAAAAAAACAAAACCCCCCAAACCCAGTCACTTTAGGATGCCTTTGAAGGGGAAGGTGAGGGTCCTGCCCTCACATCATCCCTCCCTAGAGTTACCTGGGTTGTGATTTACAGAGCTCCTGTCTGCTTCAGGCCCAGGTTGGCTGTGGAAGTACAAAGGCCCCTCAGATAGGGCCATGGCCTCTGAGGACACACTGAAGCCTGGGCAACTGTGGGCAAAGCCCTGTGAGCCAGTGGTCAGGGCAGAGCCTCAGAGGGGTTGCACGGGGCAGGGGTGAGCTCAAATCATGGGGATTGGCCTGACGCCTGCTGTCTTGTTCCTCAGGTGTCTGCAGGATGGTGTAGGGGATGTGGCCTTCGTGAGGCATATGACAGTGTTTGGTAAGTGCTGGATGGAGGAAGAATCACGTGAGCCATACTGGCCAGGGCAACTGGTTCCTTCCTGAAGGTTTCCTTACATCTAGAGATGGGTGATGACAAGACCGTTAATGAAATAGGAGAGTTTCTGAACTACTAGTCTCCTCAAATAACATACTACATCCACTAATGGCAAGATTTAAAAAAAAAAAAGAGCGCTTCTGTACAAAAACCATTTCTGTTATTCGTACTTTGTTTAGTGTTCAATTTGTTCAGTCTGTAAATCTACTAAACAAATTTTCTGAACATTTAAAGAGTATTTACCAATTAATAAAATGAGACAAGTTTTAATAATTCAATTCTCTTAGCCACTGCAATATCCATTTCAAATGTAATCACACTCTCCTGAATGCTTCAGTGTGAATGTTTCCTAAATCCTATAAATACCTTAAACAAACAAATTATAATGATTTCAGAACTTATTAGCACATCTACAATTAGATGTGTTGCAAAAGTATTATTACTGTGGACAAAAATGTATTTCTTTTTTGTCTGTTTTGTTTTTTTAAAAAAAAAAAACCTTTCAAGAGTTTTGGGCAACTTATCAGAAAGAAAGAAAGAAAAAAACAACATAAATCTCAGAAAAGTTGAAGTTACAGAATTTGGGTTTTGTTTTGTAACCAATTAAATTTCTATTGGATACAGAATACACTTGTATCGCTCAAGATGTTTAAACCAAATGTATATTCAGTATGCTAGGTTCATTTTTAAGATAAATGTCTGCTACCTCAAGGGAAATTTAAAGTCATCACTTTTTATATGGGCCTTAGTTCCTTACAACCTCGTGTCTTTCTCTAGCATGAAATAGGAGCTCGGTGTCCTTTGTTCCCTTGTTCAGCCATTCACAATTCACTGTTCCTTTGTTATTGCACACTGACCTGGTTTGTTAGCATTTTGGCAATTGAGGCCTGTCTTATTATCAGAACATTTAATTAGTGGGGTCATCTAGGGGTTTCGTCTCCCGGAATCATGTTGTTCCAGATCCTTGTCCTTTTTGGTTCCTCTGGTCGCTCCAGTGAGTGCAGGTATGTTGCCAGTGGGCAGCATCTTCTAACACTCAACCCTGAAGTGTTTGAAAACATCTTCACTTTCTGAAAACACCAGGTTGTCCCAGAAAGTCCTGGTTTATTTTTGCTGAAAGTCACTTGTCCACTAATATATAAGACCACTCACCGCCTTTTAAGTAGCAGTTTCTGACTACCTACCAGGCTTTTGGGGTGCAAACGAGTGTTGGTGGGGAACTGCTTCCACCAGTGGACCCCTGAGTGACTGATGTCGAGAAGTTCTTTCTTTCTGAAGCTAGGAAATCATATTGATTCTTTTAATTTAAATCTGACATTACTAAATCATTTAAATTTTTTCTTTCAATATAAAGATTTAAAGAGTATTTTCTCTACAACATACAAAAGTAAACTTGTAACCATTCACAAGGACTCTAACTGTACTCCTTCTCTTTCAGTATGAGAGTATGCGAACCCCACAAACCTCTGTGAGTTTGCTAGGGCTGCGATAACAAAGTAACACAAACTGGGTGCCTGAAGCAACAGCAATTTGTCTCACAGTTGGAGAGGCTAGAAGTTCAAGATCAAGGCGTCGGTAGGGCCGGTTCCTTCTGAAGGTTCCTTGCTTCTCCCCCAGTTTCTGGTTGTTTGCCGGCCGTCTTTGGTGTCTGTTGGCTTGTAGTCACACCATCTCACTCTACCTCTTTCCCTTCACATGGCATTCTCCCCGTGTGGGCGCGTGTCATTTTTATCAGGACACCAGTCGCACTGGATTAGGGGCCCATGCTACTCTAGTATGACCTCATCTTAGTTAATGACATCTGCAATGACTCTTTTCCAAGTAAGGCAACATTCTGAGGTACTGGGAATTCAGATTTCAACATGGGAATTTTGGGGGGACACAATTCAACCCAGAATACCTTTGAATACCTAGACCAGGGGAACCAAAGAGCCTGTTTTCCTCACAAGGTTTTCTGGTCTTCTTTGTACCTATAGAGTACGCTGACTGGGCCCCTAGGTAGGCCTCCTTCAACTCTTCCCCCAGCTTACCCCAGCAAGCTCTGCCTCCAGGGGGGTAGTGCCGCTGTAATAGGGAGACCCGACTGTCCTAACATGGCGATGCATCAGCCTCACACTAGCTGACAAGTCACTTTCGGTCTCTGATCCTAAGTCTCCTCATCTCTAGAATGGGATTATCCTATTACTGGCCTCCCCTGGTTGCTATGAGGATTAAATGAAACAGGGCATGGAGAGCCTTCAGGACAATCTTTGGTGTGCTGTGAATGCTCAGAAAACATTTGCTATCATCATCCATATCAGCAGACTTACAGATATGTGGGGATACCCGGAAGGGCCCTGGGCAAGCGTGCCTCCCCAGCCTCGTGTCTGTCTGCAGCGAGAACCAGTCATTTTGCTTCCTGAGGCCTCGGGTTCCTCATAGGTATAAAACGTATTTTGAAAAGATTCTCTTTCAGTCTCTTTGGGTTGTTAAAAAAATTATTAAAGGAGACAAATTAGGTGGTACAAACAAACTTGAACATTTCACAAAGTGGACAGTCTCGTTTTGGAGAACTGCAAAATGGGGCAGAAGGCAGGTAGCTTCTATAGGACAAAGAAGAGGAAGAGACAAATACAGAGTATCTGGTTGGCTGGGGCCACACAGTCAACCTTGTCTGGGGTGAGAGGCCCAGAGTTGGCTTTGTGTTTGGGGACTGGCTGACTGAATATACTTTGCTTCTGGTCAAGTAGAGCATTTATAAGAACACAAAAGTCATCTAGATTTTGGCTTGCATCTGTGGCACCTGGGCAGGAGCAGGGCCTAGAAAGTTATTACAACAAGGTCAAACAGTCTGTGATTCAGGGGGCAGCAAGGACCACAGCTCATGGTTCTGTCGGCAGTCGGCTCATCTGGGCTTTCCTCCAGCAGAGAACCTGGCAAACAGGACTGACCGTGAGCGGTATGAGTTGCTCTGCCTGGACAACAGCCGGATGCCTGTGGATAAATACAGGGAGTGCAACCTGGGCCTTTTCCCTTCTCATGCTGTCGTGGCTCGAAACGTGGGGGGCAAAGACGACTTGATCTGGGAGGTTCTCAACCAGGCCCAGGTATTCCCACCCTCCATCCTCACTTCCTGCTTTGTGTGTGTATGGAGGGGTCTCTGCTTAGATTTGGGGCATTTTCTTCCATTCCCTTCTAGCCACTCTGAAAGTTCTTTTGGGTGTCGGACAGGAACCACGTCATACATCATCTGCTTCACTGAGAAACCGCTCAGTCTGTATGTTATCGACAGCAGAGGCCATGAACCCCTCACTTGGTGTCATCGACTCCGTGGACCAAAGACTCCACAGAAGTGCCTCATTGCTCCATTTTTTTCCTTTTCAGTTCAAAAGGGGTCCTCAGGATGTGGGGTCGATGCCCCTCCTCCATGGAGTGTTCCCCTATTATCTTACTGGCATGTGATCCTGCCCCCTCCTCACTTCCCTCAGTGGCAGGTTGCCTGGCCATGAGCTTTGTCTCTGTCTGGTGTTGGTGGCGGCCTCTCCTGGCCAGCCGTCATTCATTCCCTGTCCCTTCTCTGTTGGTGCTCTCTGCTCAGCACTAGGGATTCAGAGATGAAGTGGACAGGGACTTGCCCTTGAGTTGCTTCCAGACAAGTGTGGGGGACATGATGAGTACACATACAAATGATCACCAGATGAAATGGTCCAACCTTGGGCACATGGATTGTGTACTTTGTAGAGGACAGGAACTGAGTTTCAGGGTATATCTAGGAAGATTCTTGAGCCCTAGGAAGAAAGCTGTGCATACCCCTAGGAAGGGGGGTATTTGCCAGTGAGGGCAGCAGGTGACATTTCACGTAGAGCCACCACAAAAGCAAAAAGCAGACAGACCTTGGAAAGAGCTTGGGGATAGGTGCTATAGTCAGGAATGGCTTTGGGCTGGTTAGTGGGAGTTGTAGACAAAGGGCCCTTCCATTCCATTTTTTGGAGGCCAGAAAGTTCCCAGCTAGTCCTTCAGTGGTAGGCCTGAGGTCAGAGAGGAGCCCAGGGCTCCCGACCTCCAGGCTCAGTGGCAGGTGTTGGACCGCCAGCCATTCTGGGATGAAGGCCACCAGAGCTACTTGGGACAGTCGGCTGGCCAGGAGTGAGGCAGGCTTCACTGCCTGCCCTGTGGGAACATGCCACTGGAGAAGGGCAGCTGTCTGGCACATGGCAACCATACCTCTTGGTGCGGAACTTGGGGAACAGCCTCGGCTGTTTCCCTGAAGCTGCTTATGGCCAACTAGCTGGGATTTGGGTAAAGCATTCCCTGGAGAGAGGCAGGGGAACCCTGGGAACCACAGGGGTTGTGGTGGGCTGGGTGCTTTGTCTTAGCTCTTGGGGGCTCATATTTTCTCTCTTCCAGTTTTCCTTGTCTGGTTTTGGGTTTGTTTTCCCTTTCCCTTGCTATGCCAGCTTCCCTCCTTCTCTGTTTCTTTTATCCTTTGAACAGGAACATTTTGGAAAAGACAAGTCGACAGAATTCCAGCTCTTTGCCTCTCCTCATGGGAAGGACTTGCTGTTTACAGATGATACCCGTGGGTTTTTAAGAGTGCCTCCTAAGATGGACGCCAAGCTATACGTGGGATACGAATATTTTGCTGCCATTCAGCGTCATAGGATAGGTGTGTAAAGTTCTGGGAGGAAAGTAGAGCAGGAAAGCCAGAGAGGCTTTCCCAGTGCCTGCAAGCCTCACCTCACCCAACCTTCACTGGCCCATGGAGCCCAGGGGAGCTACCAATTGCACTGTTAGTGAGGGGATTTTCTGCTGAGCTGGAGAAAAAGCCTGAACTATGAGATCACAAAAGCGTTTTGAAGATCTTCAGATTACAGTCAACTTGAAGTAATGATGGTTCTTGCTCCTGTGTATTAACCAGGGTCACCCCACCCAGTGGCAGGTCTATATGACAGGGAAAAATCGCGCATCCCAAATTGAAGTGGGGACATGGCCTCTGCCACTATCAGGAGTGAAACTAAAATTTCAGAGGGTGTTAATCCAACCCTTGCCTTCCTCTAGATCCCTATGGCTCATTTCTTCTTTCCTTCTTTCCTTCCTTTTGTTTTCATTTAGTCAACCAATAGTTAATGAGCATCCACAAAAGTCACTGTGTTAGATGTGGGCATACTGTGGTGATCAGACATTGGGTGAGGGGGAGAGCAATCAGGCTCACCCAAAGGAGAACACATGACTACCAACTGGGGAATGCTACTGTTGGGAGAACCCAGTCCTGTCAGAGCAAACTCTGGAGGGTCCTGACCTTCTGGTGCTCAGAAAGTGTTCCCCCCAGGAGGATATACTCAAGGAGGTGAGGTCAGGAGGGTGGGGAACTGCTCTGCCTTCACTACTCTTTCCGAGTACTGAGCTCCCCATTTCTCCTGGAGGGTGACAGACAGGAATGAGCCGTGATATGGGCATGAGACATACCCACTCTGCTGCTGTCAGTGAGGGCCCCACTGGACAGCCATTCTGTAGCCAGTGGCACTTAGCTCCCAGACACATCTCCGGACTTCTTTTGGATGCCTCGCTTTTCTCCACCTGTCCTAGGTATGGAAGACACCCAGAGGGTGCTATGGTGTTCAGTGGGCCACCATGAGAGGGTCAAGTGTGATGAGTGGAGTGTCCTAAGCGGTGGTGCCTTACAGTGCACCATAGAGGAGACCACTGAGGACTGCATCGCCGCCATCGCAGTAAGGAGGGCCCCACCTCCACAGCTGGGCTTGGACACCCAGACATGTGGCCTCTCTGCCCTCTTCCCATATGTCTTCCTGTTGGCCATGAGGCTAAAATGCACCTGTTGTGTGCTGCCCCCACGCTCCAAAGCCCCACCCAACTCTACTGAATGTGCCCCTGTAGCTCAGGCTGGCCCGAGACCCAGACTCCTTAGGTCAGCTCTGGAGTCCTGGGAGCTCTGAGTATTGTCCTATCCAGGAGATGCAGGAAGGGGGGTGACATCCCAGGGGGTGGTCAGGGCCCCTGTGGATTGTGAAAGCAAATCAACCTCAGTCCTTGAGTTGTAAATATAATTTTTTTTCTGGTGATAAAAATATTATATGCTGGAAGTGAAATGAAAGATAAGATCATTCACAACTTTCTAACTCAGAGATCATTACCACATAATTTCTGAGTTATGAAGTTGTGTTATTAACTTTCCATTTCTCTATGAGCAGATAATATTTTTGTGATTAGGAAAATAAATTTACAATAAAAGACTCAAAAATTGACAAACTCAGGAGACACACATTCTTCTTCAATAAGATCTTTATTTTGATAAACCTTCCTGGGACTAACCCGTACACTAAGATCTTGCAATTTATACAGTCCCCTAAATGTATCAGTTTTAAGGATTAGATGAATTTGAGTGCTCAGGACATTGCCTAGCATATAGTATGTAGTCAATAAATGTTATCTATTGTTGTTATTTAAAGTTAGCACAGTAGGTGCACTTTCTTAGGTAATGGAATATTCATTTAAAATGTTTTTAATGGCTGCACAATATTCCACCAATATTTCTGCCTCAATTTATTGAACTGATTTCTCAGTGTCTACATTTGAAATATTTCCAAATCCTTTGCTATTGTAGATAATATGGGATTGAAGATTTTTGTTCTATAACCTCAATATTTCTGGGTATATCTTTAATAATAATAATAGCTAACATTTTGGAAGTTACTTACTATGTGCCAAACATGCTTATGAGCTCTTAACTTGCATTAACTCATTTGTTTATTTATTTTAAAGATTTTATTTCTTTATTGTCAGAGAGAGCGCACAAGCAGGGGGAGCAGCAGGCAGAGGGAGAGGGAGAAGCAGACTCCCCGCTGAGCAAGGACCCCGATGTGGGACTTGATCCCAGGCCCCTGGGATCATGACCTGAGCCAAAGGCAGACCCTTAACCGATTGAGCCACCCAGGCGTCCTGCATTAGCTCATTTAATCCTCACAATGAGCCTATGAGCCCATTTTATGGATGAAAAAAAATGTGTATAGAATAGTTTTTAGGTATGTGTTCTTCAGAATAGTCAGATTCAGGAGGCTATGTGGTATACTGGTTATGAGCAGAAGCTAAGGAATTAAACTGTTTAAGTTTTAGTTTTAGTGACCATCTATTGGAGAAATTATTTAACGTCCCTCTGCTTTACTTCACTAGTGTATAAAAGGGGAAGAATTATAGTACCTACCTTATTGGATTTTGTGAGGAATACATGAGGTAATCACTGTAAGATGTTTAGAAAGGGCCTGGCACATAGTAAAGGCTTGGTAAGTATTTGTTTGTATAGTTGCTACTGTTTTAAGATAGATTTCTAGAAGGACAGTTAATAGGTCAAAAGCCAAGAGCGAGTATGTATCTGTGTGTTTTTATCTCAATGACCTTATCTATCACTGTAAGTATATATTTTTTGCTCTGTTGTTGGAAAATTTCATTGATTAAAATAAGTTAATTATTAATGAATTATTTAATTAGAGAAATTGTTTGTTGCAAGTCTTTGCTGTGCCAAGGCTCTGAGTATAGTGCTAATGGAATTATGGGAACAGAATTGAACTCCACCATACAAAAGAAAAAAGTTCCATTGAAACATAGTAAATACAGGGGCACCTGGGTGGCTCAGTTGGTTGAATGTCCAGCTCTTGGTTTCAGCTCAGGTTCTGATCTCGGGGTGGTGAAATCGAGCCCCGTGTTGAGCTCCGTGCTCAGCTTGAGAATGTGCTTGAGATCTTTCCCCCTCCCACATGCCCCCCACCCCGCTCCTCCCTGTTTGTACTCTCTCTCTTTCTCTCAAATAAATAAATAAAATCTTAAAAAAAAAGAAACATAGTAAATACAACCCCTGAGTCTGGCCATGTAGACTGTTGAGTGACAGTGGTCACAAAGAAAACGTGGTGAGGGCATGTCCAGTACTCAAAATGGGTCTAATGAGAGGTCAGAGATGCCAGGGAGCAGGATCTGGGTTGGGTGCTTATTCCTGGGTCAACATGTCCAGTTTTCTAAACCCTGTGGTGAAATGGCAGAAGTTTTGGGTGATCCATGATTTGATGAATCAAAAGGACATGTGACATAAAGCCAATGAGAGATACCTCTGAGGGTCAGTGAGACAGGAAATGGCCTCACTGTTGTGCTACTGATTTATTTCTTAACTTCAGAAAGGAGAGGCTGATGCCATGACTTTGGATGGAGGCTTCATCTACACAGCGGGCCATTGTGGTCTGGTACCTGTCCTGGCAGAGAACTACAGTAAGTGGAAGGGGTGCCTGTCAGTGTTTTATTTTCTCTGGGCCGTGGACATAGAAAGAAGGAGAAATGATCCAGTTCATTGTTGAGATAATAATTAACTACGGGTAGAGTGTGAGAGGCTAGCAGATAGTATCCTCCTTCCCCAGAGTCAGAGCCAATGAAGATATGGACACAGGAGTTAGGCAGAAAGAGATGAAAAGAGATATTTATTACTGAAAGGGTGATATTGGAGGGCATGGTACAGAGCTGGCTTCAGGGCTTGCCAAATTGCCCTGGAGTTAGAGTTACCCACTAGTTCAGGAGAACAGGTCTGTTGGCTTACCCTACAGCTGAGGGCCCAGGAGAATGCATATTGTCATAGAGCTTCATCGAAAAGATCTAAACTATCCTCTCCCCACTCTCTTCAATAAAGAGAGGAGGGGCTGAGCAACATGTGCCTCACTCAATACTTTTGCTAAATTTACTAGTCCAAAATTAACTCACCCCAGCTGCACTGGAAGGTTGAGTGGTGAGGCTACAAGGTCATGTTCTTCAGTGGGGATCCTTTCACATAAAAAAATAAAGCTGGGGAAAAGGGGATTTCACCAATATAATTTATTAAGCACCTCATCTGCTAGGCAGTGAGCAAGAAACCATACATTATCCTTCAAAACAAAACAACTCTGTGAAGTAAATAATGGTATCTCTGTTTTACTGATATAAAAACTAAAGCTTAGAGAAGTTAAATGATGTGTCCAAGGTAGAATGAAGACTGTATCCAGGTTTTTCTGACTCCATGGACTGGTTTTTTTCCCCTCCAACATGGCAAGAATATAATGATTGCCTACCACAGTCCAGAGCTCTGAAGGGAAGAAAGATTATCAGGATGACCTGAATCACATAGCCAATGCAAAAGATCTTTGTCAAGATCTTTAGTGGTCTCTGCCCCTCTTCAAAGGGCATCTCATTTTCTTTCTCTGCAACTCCCTGAGTGCTGGGGAGATTCTGGGGGTGGAACCTAATATTCAAATGGCAAAGTTCAGGGAGAGAGGTGTTAGATGGGCCTGCAGAATCTTGGCTTGTTGATAACCAGTGACACACTGCTTAGCTGGTGTTTCTTATTTTATTCCTCACTCTTGAGGTTGAGAAGCTCATGACTTTGGATTGAGTAATGCGAGAGTTTAATGCCATGTATCCCGATTGTTTTTCTGTTTAGTGCCTACGGATGGGTCTACGTGTGTAAATACACCCGTGGTAGGTGAGTCAGAATCAGTAACCCTGGGGCTCAAAGGTAAAGGTCATCGTTGGGGAGAGGGTGAGGAGAGTCTTCAAAATGAAGCAAAGTTACTAGAGTTGTAAAGAAAAAAACAAAACAAAAAAACCCACAAAAAACCAAGAAGGAGAACGAGCTATCACCACTACAGCTTATTGTAAGGAGCAAATCTGTCATGAAGCTGTGGTGATAATTACTGTTTGTGGGGTTCTTTACAGGCAACAAAGGACTCCTGCTTGCACTATTCCCGTTTACTCTCCTCAGCGATCCTCTGGGATGTGGGCATCATTATCCCTGTTGTGTAGATGGGGAAAGTGAGGCCCAGGGCCACACAGCCAGGGAGTGGCTGCACCTGGGCTTGAGAAGAGGCGGTGTGACTGGAAACCCCTTGCCCTTCCTGACGCACCACCTTACTCCTTGTCATATGCTGCCTGCCCTTCTCCGCACCAGGAGGCAGGAGCCCACTTCTGACACTTCTGGGCCAAGTGGAGGCTTCACTATAGGAGGAGAGTCATAGATGCTCTAACGAAGAGGAAGGAGAAAATGAACTGGACCTTTTAGCTTTCAGCCAGCTAATTTTAATAGCAGAGGAGTCGATCTTGTCTTTAGAATAGACCAGGTGACAAGTTCTCCCGTCTGTATCTACATAGGCAGGGAGGGTCTGTATCTGTTCCTGAAGTACCTAATCTTGGAAAACAGAGCGGTGTTTCTCAATCTAGTGTAGCGCCTGGACCGGCTGCATCAGCATCACCTGAGAACTTGTGAGAAATGCAAATTCTTGGGCTCCACCCAAATCCACTGAGTCAGAAACTCCAAGGATGGGGCCACTGCTCTGTGTTTTAACAAGCCCTCCAGCTGATTCTGATGCACATTGGGGTTTGAAAACAACTATGGGGGAGGACCCTGAGATGAAAACAGGTGCTCACTTGGGTTTGGAGTTTCTTATGGGACAGGTAAACTGCGGGAAGTGGGTGGGTGGGTTTGGACCACCACAGCACCAGCAGCAGCTCTGGTCCCCGCTGAGCACGGGGTCGCAGAGGCCCTGTAGGTCCATGCCCCACCAAGGCCTCTAGAGTGCAAAGCTTCTCCCCTGCAGCAGCTCCCCTCCATGTGCAACAGGACCCAAGCCCTAGGATATACTGTCCCCCCTCCCCCTCTGCTTTTATGGCTAACAGTCTTCAGTGAGTTGTGTCTTCATCCCCAGCCCGAACGGCTGGCATTTTGTCAGCCATGCAGTCTCCTGAGTATAGAATATGTGAAGTCAGAAAGAACTTCGCTTCAAGAATGGTTGAAATTTCCAGGAACTGCAGTATATGCAAATGCAGGTCAACAAAGATGCTTAGAAGACAGTTCAGGGTGGCTGGCTGTGATGGAGAAGGTTAGATTTGAGTAGAGACAGAGAGGGATCAACTCCAAAGACAAAGACACACACACAACACACACACCCGATGGCAATAATTAATGCCATTTGTGCAGAATTAGTTACACCTCCAGAAAGGTACTGTAACAGTATTTGGCTGCCAGAACAGTGTAAAAGAGCACAGTCTGGTAAGCAAGGGCTTGGCCTGGCCTCAGGAGAATCTGCTTCACTGAGGGAGGGGCTCTGGTACTGCTTGTGCCACTAGCTGCATGGCTGGAAACCCAGCAATGTAACCTCCCCGTCCTATCTTAATGTACAATGAGCCCATATTAGCACATCTGATCCCCCCGAAAGCTCCCCCTGGATGGGTATCAGTGTTGCCATTTTACCGAGGAATAAACTGGCAAGGCAAGTCTTCTACCTGCCATGTTGACTTCCAATTTTTCCAGGCTTGAATATACAGAAACCCGAACCATGATGGCAAGAAAGGGAGTGTAAGGGGAGGGGGGGGGGGTTCGGAGTAGTGGTGGAGGACCACATTCCCTTCTAGTTCTGAAGATTTAGGGTTCTAGTCTTCTTATAAATTCTGCTTTACTGTTTAGGCCTCAGTCAATAAATACAATTCAGTTACAGAGTATTGGGATAGGAATATATCAAATATCAGTGATGTTCCCATTAGAATCAAGAACACGAGAAGAAGGCCCACTCTCACCAAAGACACTTGGTACTACTTTGGAAGTGAATGCAGGATGATTTAGAAGATTAGAAAAATATTTTTAATATTGGAGAAAAAAGAGATTAAATTGTCACTATTGGAAAATGATGTTATCATAAATCTAGAAAATCAGAGACTTTAAAAAAGAAGTTATTAAAGCCCTTTCTGTTGGATTTCAACAGAAGTATTTCAACAGGCACACACTTATATGTACAAGATTTATATAGGTAATTTGTAATATGACAAAGTGGGTCACACCATAAATACCCACCAGTGGGGGGATTACAAAATATGGTACTTCCATACAGTGGAACATAACTTAGGTTCAACCAATAAACAGAATGAGATAGCTATATCTACTTCTGAATCAAAAAGGTGCCCACAATATATCACTGAGGGAGAATAAAGCATCTCGCAGTAAAGAATGTATAGTAGGAATCCATTGAAAAAGTATGAAGTATGTGTGTAAATATTTCTGGATGTCTGTATGTAGAAATATCTGGAGAGCAGTAGTGTCAGACTGTTTGGCCCCATATCTAATAATGATAGTTATTGGTAGGGTCTTCTGCTAGAGTAAGGAGGGGGGTTCAAGGTATTCCCCTTCCCCTGGGAGAGTGGCAGGCAGGGGCTAACTGTAGCAGCTCTAGAGTACATTTTCAGAGGGTCCTGGAGCTACTGAAATTGCATTTTGTTATTTCTGTTGCAAGGTCACTACGTCGTGGCAGTGGTTAAGAAATCAGATCCCTACATCACTTGGGGCTCTCTGCAAGGCAGGAGGTCCTGCCACCCCGCAGTTGGTACTTCTGCAGGCTGGATCATCCCCATGGGTTTGATATACAACAAAACCAGGTCCTGTAAATTTGGTAAGTGCATTCTGTGATGCGGTGCAGCAGCCCCTTCCTTGGGCCTGTAACTGTGTAGGACAGGAATCCAGTTCAATGACAAGGAATGTCAAGGGATGGCATAAATTGGTAGTGGGGTCAAGGGCTGGGCAGACATTACAGGTGAGCTTCACCTGTCCTTGAGCAGGTGCTCCCCTTTCTCCTCACCTCCTTACTTCTGAGGGGAGTGGCTTGGCCCAATGGGTAGATATCAGGGAAATACCCTATTCTTTATGTGTTACAACTGGCTCAGGAAACAAGCCTGGGGTTGCAGAGTAAGAGTGGGGTGTGTGTGTGTGTGTGTGTGTGTGATGTTTTCCCATATAAACCAGATTGGCTGCTTTGTAAAAATTGCAAACCATACACCGGTAAGTCCTTGGGTGCTTTTTCACTTGCATCCTTATCTCCGTTGGAGTCTCAGATTTATCACTTTAGCAGTACTCCTGCCAATACCTAAAAGGCTCCTGGTGCCCTGCTTTTCCCAGCCATCTGACAAATCCCACCTCTGCATGAACCCCATTACCTGCTCTCTTCCCTTGCTTAGCAGCTAAGGAAGCTTCATATCCTTAGCAGCTAAACCTGGCTGGAGAAGTCACGGGGTAGAGCAGTTCATTCCACTGGGAATGGTCCAGAAGCTGGCCTCAGTGGGCCTCTGGCAGTCACACCGTCACTGTGTTGCTGCTCCACACCCCTATACTTCCCAATAATTATCCTAATGCCCTCACTTCCAACCAACACCCATCTACCGCCCTTTCTCAGCACATGACTCATCTCAGCTGCAACAGACAACTGAAATGGTCAGAAAGGTTCCCCCTCACCATCCCACTGCCAAAGCTGTGGGCCTCCTCGTGGCTGTATCCGCTCAGCCTTCCTCCACCTGTACTTTGGTGTGGGCCCCTCCCCTGTTCCTCTCCCTAGAGCCTCATACCCTTGGTTACTACTTCTCTCTCTAGTATAGCCAACAATTTCTTTCAACATTAAGCATCCCCAGTGTTTTCCATCTTTAAAAGTCCTCCCTCTCCCAGCAGTCTCCTCCAGCTTCTGACTTGTTTCTCCCCCTCCTTGCTGCCAGACTTCTTAACAGCATGGTCTGAACCACTCATCTCCCACTCACTCCTCCACTCCCTGTCCTCTGGCTTCTCTGCGTCATTCCATAGGAAAGACTCTGGTCAAGGCTACCGGTGACCTCCATGTTGCTCAGTTGGAAGGTCATGCTCCAGTCCATTCCTCTGTTACTTCTCCCTCTTCAGATCACCTTAAAACACTATCTTCTGGCTTTTGTGAAAACACTGGCTTGGTTTTTCTCCCACCCCTACAAAGCCCCCTTTCCCAATCTGGTTAATAAATGTTTCAACTGCTTAAAGCAACTTTCTTCCCCCACTCTAAACTCAATCTGCAGGCACTCACATCCATGCCTACAGCCTCATTTACCATCTAAGCAAATAATATTATACATACCAAACTAGGCACTTGCCATTTGCAATGACGTGGATGGAACTGGAGGGTATTATGCTCAGCAAAATAAGTTGATCAGAGAAAGACATGTATCATATGACCTCACTGATATGAGGAATTCTTAATCTCAGGAAACAAACTGAGGATTGCTGGAGTGATGGGGGGTGGGAGACATGGGGTGGCTGGGGGGATGGACACTGGGGAGGGTATGTGCTATGGTGAGTGCTGTGAATTGTGTAAGACTGTTGAATCACAGACCTGTACTTCTGAAACAAATAATACATTGTATGTTTAAAAAAAAAAAGAAGATAGTAGGAAGGGAAAAATGAAGGGGGATAGATCAGAGGGGGAGACGAACCGTGAGAGATGATGGACTCTGAGAAACAAACTGAGGGTTCTAGAGGGGAGGGGGTGGGGGGATGGGTTAGCCTGGTGATGGTTATTAAAGAGGGCACGTTCTGCGTGGAGCGGTGGGTGTTATGCACAAACAATGAATCATGGAACACTACATCAAAAACTAATGATGTAAAAAAAAAACTAATGATGTAATGTATGGTAATTAACATAACAATAAAAAATTTTTAAAAAACTAGGCACATAGCCAGCACTAGATAAATGTTTGCTGCTATCACTATTATTGTTATATCTATATGTTGATAACTATTACATCTTTATCCCTAGCACAGATCTCTCTTTGACCTCCACACCGGTGTATATCGAACTGCCTATCTGACGTTATCTAATTGGATATTGCAAAAGCACATTAAGCTCAAAACAAAATGTATCATCTCTGCTGAGTCTGCTCCAGAGCTGCCTAGCTCAGTGGAGGACCCTACATCCATCCACTTGCCCCAGCTGGAAACCAAGCTATCATTCTCCACGTACTCATCCATCACCAGTGATGTCCCCCTCTACTGTCTCCCTCCCCTTGTACTACTCTAGTCCCAACTGTCCTCATCTCCCCTGGACTACTACAGTAACCTGCTGCCTGCACCCCACATCTGCCCTGGATTCCATTCACCCCACTGGCAGACCAGTCTTTGCAAAGTGCAGATCTGGCTCTATCTGGCCCACTACCCCTGGTCCAGCATTGCTGTAGCCCTTCAGAAGCTCCTGATTTCTCTAAGGATAAAGAACAAAATTTACACAAAGGTGTGAAAGCGGGTCTGGACCTTGCCTCCTCTCCACTCACTCTGGTACTGGGTGGTCTAGCCCCATGGCCTCTTACTGACCTTTCCGTGCTATTTGCCCCACTCCCCACCCCTGCCCTGGGCCTTTTCAGATGCTGCTCCCTGTGTGGAAAACTCTTGTCCCTTCACCCTTCACTTAAGTAATTGCTATTCATTCTTCATCTCTCGACTTGAGGCCTCTCCCTGATTCCCAGGTCTGTACCAGATTCCTTTATGTACAGCCGTGTTGAACCATATTCTTCTTTCCCATTGCAAGCCGGGTAGGGGATGGGGGGTACAAAGTCACTAGCGTGGCTACTTGAGTTACAACTGTTGCTCATGGACTTGGGGTTCCAGGAGCACGGGGCCTGTGTGATGTCCTCACCGCAGTGCCCTGGGGCCCCGCACAGGGCTTGGCAGCTGAGCCTCTCAGGCCCCTTCCTGGATTTGGAGTCAGGATGGGATACCTTATAAGGGAGGGCAAGGGCAGCAGAGGTCAGGGAAAATGTGGGAGAGGTTTGACCGGGTGGCGCTTTTGGTTTTGTTCTCTCTCTTAGAATTGCATCTGTGTCTACCCTTCCACACCTCCCACCCTGTGCCATCTCTGTTCCACAGACCCTTGTCCCAACTTCAGCCAGTCACCCTTTACTTTGCTCTAGTTGCAACTTTTTTTTTTTATTCCATAAGGTTCTTATTTGTAATAATATGGTACCAAACACCCAGATGTGTCTCTACACCATTCAAGCAATTCTAGGGACAAAATCAGAGGCTTTCTGGCTAACAAAGGCAAGAAGAGCTGACCTCCTGTGTTTTCCTGCACAGATGAATTCTTCAGTCAAAGCTGTGCCCCTGGGTCTGACCCAGATTCCAGTCTCTGCGCTCTGTGCAGTGGTGGCAGCAGCCCAGCCCACACCTGTGCCCCCAACCACCACGAGAGATACTATGGCTTCAGCGGGGCATTCAGGCGAGTAGTGTCTGTGCACCACCTTCCTCTTGGGCACCAACCCAGCGAACCTCTTGTCCCTTCATCTTTTCCATCACCCCAGGATCTGGCTGCTACAGTTAGGAGGAGCCAGAATTAGAAAACCACGGCAAATTCCCACTGGCCCCAAGGACTCAAGCCCAGCTCCTTCCTGGAGCACTTTTCTGCAGACCCAGCTGACTTAGGGCACCTGGGGAGAAGCAAGCATGAGGGGTGCAGGATCACAACCCTGGGTCTACTTTTGTTCTTTTCTTCTGTGTGATTGTGGACAAGTCACGGAATCTTTCAGAGCCCCAGTTTAAAACCAGAGGACGGATACTGGACATGTGCTTCCTACACCTGGCTGATGGGTACATTTTAAAAAAATAGATATTCCTGGGCTGCTCCAGCCCTTCAAGAAACCTTTATTGAGCACCTACTACGTGGCAGACACTGGTCTGGGTAGAGGGGTTATAGCAGCAACAAGACACATGTAGCTCCCCTGTCGCCTGCGCCTTATCTCATGGGGCGAGTAGGATAATAAACAGATAAATAAGGGCCAATCACTTCCTGACTGTGCTGAGTGCGGCAAAGGAACCAGGAGGGTGCTGTGGTAGTGACTTGGGTAGACCAAACGAGAGTCAAGAATTTTTAAATAAAATTATACAAGGGGAATTTTGTTTTCCTAGATATAAAAATCCCATTTAATACTCTACAATACTCTAAGACTATGATCAGTACAGACCGGTTTGTGTCGAAGAATGACAAATCAGTGGAAGAGAATAGACTTCAAAGACTTATACATGGACACATTATATTTGGTGTATAACAAAGATAGCATTTCAAACTGGGGAAAGATGAACTTGAGAGATCAAATAAATGAGTGTGGCGAACTGGCCCTTGGATCTGGTGGGAGCAGATTCAATAGTGAGTCAGTCCCATAAGCTGATTGGCAGGGATCAGTGAGGGTGGGGTGAAGGGGTGCTGATCACAAGTGCAGTGATTCCTTTTAGGTGTTTGGATGAGTTGGGGAGGGAGGCCTATTGCTAAGGGCAATGTGGGATCAAGACAGGGATTATTGCTTTTCAGAAAAGGAAAGAAGTATGAATGCTGATCAAAAGAGCCCAGTGAATGGAGAAAGACTCTAATTGCATAAGGGAGAGAGGATAACTATCAGAAGCTGCCTGAGAGTGTGGGGGGGGCGGGGATGGGATGCAGGGCACCTGGGGAGGACACTGTTGTCGAGAGGGAGACCTTCACTCCTTTGTGCCTGGAGGGCAGGAAAAGAGCGCTGGAGACTTTGGGCTGACAGCTTTGGCAGAGGGAGGCTGGAAGAAAGCTCATGTCATGATAGCTGTGTTTTCTCTGGGAAGCAGGAGCACATGGTAGAGTGAGTGTCGGGGAGAGGGTATGTGGAGAGACAGACGCATGCAGGAATTTGAAAAACATTTTAGTCACCGCTCTGTGGAATGGGGAGGTGGCTATCTCAAACAGTGGTTCTTACCACCAGAGCACAGATTCTCCTAGGGGGCTTGTTAAAACACAGATTGCTGTGCCCCACCGCCAGAAGTTTCTGATCTAGTAGGTCTGGGGTAGGGCCCCAAGAATGTGCCTTTCTGACGGGTTCACAGCTGGTGCCAATGCTGCTGATCCCAGCCCACACGTAGAGAAACACAGCTCTAGAGTAGAGTGAGGAAAGCAGGAAAGCCCAGGAGAAGTGAGTGATCAGGAGGTTCTCTGCTCTGCCTTCCTGCTGAGGTACAGACACCTGAGGCAGACCATCATGCTTATTCAGGACTGGGATTATATGAAGGGCAGGAAGAGGAAAGAAATGGGGGCAAAGGGAGCTTAGGAAAATTGAGTAGGAATAATTGATCCTAGCTAAGTATAGAGGGACCTGAAGTTAGGAGAGAGAGAAAACTGGAGAGGTGCTCCTGATAACCAATCACTAATGTCAATTGCCAACTGTTTGGATGTCATAGTACTGATTGTTAATGTGTTTGACATTTCTCATAAAGAATGGACCTTAAACACAGAGAAACAGTTTTCTGGGGATTAAGTGTGAACACATATCTGGTGATGCACATTCACTACTGATCATTAAGGCTGACTAGACGTATGGATGTGAAAAGACTCCTTCAAAATCATGTCTTCCATGTTGATTTTAATCTCTGTTGTGAGTTTTGATCTGACCAGAGAGTCATCCTTGAATATTCCTATTAATAGGAGAACACAAACATCTCCTCTGGAGAAAATGATCCGTATTTAAAATAAGGAACCAAACAGTGGTTATCTACAATGGAAACAAAATAAGCAGGTTTCTTCTTCTATTACATTTCCCCTCTAAGTCTCTGGGACAGCCTGAGTGTTATAGTTGTGTGTGTGGATGTGGTAAGCCCACTGGCCTCAGGTGGAGGGGGTGTGAGCCTCTCAGTGGGTCCCTCTGGGTGTCTCTCCCTCCAGCTCCCATTGGAGCTCCTCACTGATCTGGCACTTGCTTTGCAGGTGTCTGGTTGAAAAGGGAGACGTGGCCTTTGTGAAGGAGATCACAGTCTTCCAGAACACTGACGGTACGTGCCTGTGCTGTCATTTCCTCCCTTGGAAAAAGTCTGAGTCTCTCCCAGGAAGTCACTCCCCAATTGGGCAACCAGGGAAGTTTATGAAAGCATGGCTGTCTCTCTTCATTTATAGGCATTCCTTATATATTCTGGATACAAATTTTTGTCAACTATATGTATTGACAATACCTTGTTTCTCTCTGAAAGGCTTACCTTTTCACTTTCTTAATGATGTCTTTCGATGAACAGATATTTTAATGTTTAATGTAGTTCAACTTATCAATCTTCTTTCTGGCTAGTGCTTTTTCAGGCCTGTTTAGGAAACTTTTGCCTTTAACAGGACTGAAAAGGCACTAACCAGAAGGGCTATGAATTTATAACTATGCATTTTTCTCTTTCTTCTATTTCTAAAGTTTAATTATTTCATTTTTCTGTGTCTCTGTGATTCTCCCAGACATTGGTGGTTGGTCATATTCCCCCGGGGAGGGCACCTTGACCAAAGCTGTCAGCTGTGGCTGACCAACCTTCCTTCTCCCCAGGAAAGAACCCTGAAGCATGGGCTAAAGATCTGAAGCTGGATGACTTTGAGCTGCTGTGCCTTGATGGTACCAGGAAGCCTATGACTGAAGCTTGGAGGTGCCACCTGGCCATAGTCCCAAATCATGCTGTGGTCTCAAGGAAAGATAAGGCAGCTTTTGTTCGCAGAATGCTCTTCAATCAACAGGTATGGGCACACAGGAGGTCCTTCTACACGGTCCCCCCAGCCAAGTGCTCAGGTCACCTCCAGAACTGACAGGTACACCCAGCCCAGTCTCACACCCTTTCTCCCCAGGCAGATTCTCACAGCCCTGCCTCTGAGGAAAGCAGAAAGCTAGCTGGTGAAAGCTAGCTTGTGCTCTGGGGGTGTCTAGGATATCAAAATGGACTGAAAAAGCTTCGGACACATGAGTATCTGAAGGGTCTCCCTAAGACTCACTTACCTCTCTGGGCAGACTCCTGGTACCTCCTGGACTTATTTAGTTCCTCCATGAGAGTTATCTCTTTCTTCTTTCTTCTTCTGTCACAGAAATAAGGGATTTGGCTCAGTGTCCTTCACACTAGGGTGAGGAATTATATGTGGGAAAAGCAGAGTAGAGACTACTCTACCTGACTTAGGGTGGGTCCCAATGCATTACTGAACCTGGGCAGGCTGAGCACTGTTTTAGGCTTCATGAAAGTTCAAGAGCCAACATTCAGACAACTCATGACCTCTACAGGCAGCCAACAAGGGCTATGAAGTAGCACGATGCCTAAATCAAATGATCTTAAGGAAAACCCAAAGCCTCAGCTGCCTTTCACACTCATACGCCCCATTCCTGGAAGAGCCCCATATGAGTAATCCATGTCTTAGCATATGCTGCCCACATGTCTCAGAGGACTACAACCCAGGGAGAACTGGCAAAACCAGAGGCTCTTGGTCAAGGACTCCTGAAGGCATGTCTCCCAAAAGGCAAGCTGCCCCCTTGGCTGTAGGGGGCTGAACAAGGAAAAAGAGAGGAGGGGAAGGAAGAGATGGAAATGGTCAGGTGCCTGGGGCAGATCTAGAGAATAGAAGAGGCAAGGCAGCCAGGGCTTTGGGCAGCGGAGGACAGGTAGTATGACCCAGGAAATTGAAAATATCCAGCAGTGACTATCAGAATTGTGATACAGTGGCCACAAAACTTGAAGCTTTTTTTATTTAGCCGTTACTTTACATACATCATCTCCATTTACAAATGAGTAAACTGAGGCTCACTGACCCAGTAAAGAAGTTTCCTAAAATCACATGACAAGGAAAAGCTAGGGCCACAATTTGAACCCAGACGCCATGGGTTTTTTTTTGCCATTAACGGTGCTTCTGAAACTGTTGGCTGTGTCCCAGGTCTCCCAGGGGCTGGAGCTGAGCAGTGCAGCAGACTTAGATCTTCTAAGGCGGAACACACAACCTTGTGCTCTCTGGTGCTGCTGCTCACTCTCTGTCTGTGTCTGTGTGTCTGACTCAGGAGCTCTTTGGAAGAGGTGGGTTTGAATACAGGATGTTCCAGATGTTTCAGTCCTCAACTAAGGACCTGCTGTTCAGCGATGACACGGCATGTTTGGCTAACCTTCAGGATAAAACAACTTACCGAAAGTACTTAGGACCAGAGTATCTTACGGCCATTGCTAACATGGGACAATGCTTACACTCTGGTGAGTAGAATAAAACACTGAGGAACAATACCATGGGGTCAAGGTAAACATATTTGTATTAAGGACCATTGTGTGCCAAGCCATGGGCCAGTACTGATAAAGATGCACAAAGATGGAGAAGGCTTACTTCTGGCCCTGCAGGAGGATGCAGACCTACCAGTGAGGTAACTCAATTAGACGACAGTATAAGAGACTACCTGAAAAATGATCAAATCATTTGAAGGAGAAAGAGAGCGCAACTGAGATCATTTGGAAACTAAACTTGTTTACCTGTGCATTTCCATTTTTTTTCCTAACAAAATGAAAAGGTACACATGTGTGAGCACTTCAGTGTAGAGAGAGGGTTGGGAAATGACCTATATATATCACTCATAGAGGATCAATTTTCAAAGATTTTAAGTAAAATGTATAAATAATATTAACAGACACAAAATGAAGTTAGCACTGTATGTGCCCTTTCTAGTTTTATATATACTTATGTATTAGAACGGCATAGTGTATATGTGTGTGTGTGTGTGTGTGTGCGCGCATTTTAGAATGGTATAGTTGCCTCAAAAAGGATTAAGTTGGAGAAATAAAATTAGAGCTGGGATAATCAAATTGCTGAGAGTGTGCCTGAATTTTTGTTGAATTATATTGTGTGTTGGAGATGATGAGAGCAGGAGGAAAGGAAAATGTAGGTATTTAAAGATAGCACTGACATCAATTAGGAGATACAGACACAGAGACAGAGAGAGAATTTAAAAAAATTATTATTGGGGCGCCTGTGTGGCTCAGTCATTAAGCATCTGCCTTCGACTCAGGTCATGATCCCACGGTCCTGGGATCGAGCCCCGCATTGGGGTCCCTGCTCGGTGGGAAGCCTGCCTCTCCCTCTCCCGCTCCCCTTGCTTGTGTTCCTGCTCTTGCTGTGTCTCTCTCTGTCAAATAAATAAATAAAATCTCTAAAAAAAATTATTATTACCTAGCATTTACTCTTAGAGAACAGGAACAGAATTGTGTTTAGTAAACACAGGAAGTACCTAAAAGTCTTTCTCTTATGTTTTGCTTCACAGAACTTCAAGATGCCTGTACATTCCATGTACATTAAAAACTGATCAAAGTGGGCAACCACAGATACTCAGTGCCTGCAAATATGGTGGGGACACATCCTCACTTGTCTGCATGTGGGCCTCTGTTAACCTCAGTTGTTTTATATAATTATGTGCTGTAACTGATACAAAAATTAAAATGAATAAAAATTATTGTGTCTTCTCAGAAAACTTCGTTATATGTTCTCAGATTTTTTGAGGGGAGAAAACTATGTCTTTATACTAGATTTATGCTTCTAAATTTAATATCTATTAGATTGTACTTTCTTAAAGAACTGCACAAGACTAGCTCATCTTCCCACCCTATTCTTTATTTTACTGAAGAGTTGAGTCACTCACATAGAATTTAAGCAATAAATCTGTGTGAAGGGCATCTGAATGGTGATTACAAGTGTGCAAAAAAAAGCATCAGTGTGTGCAGTATCAAGGACTTACATAATAAAAACAAAGGACAAGGAATGAGTTTGTGTATTTTAAAATATATTTGAGCATTTAAAATTCATAATGTCAAGTGGAATAAAAATCCTGACTCAGATTAATTGGAAGACATTAAAATTACTGCAAAAATCTAACCCTACTACCCTTTTACAGTCAACTTCCTGAAAGTCTGATTTATACTCAATTAAGTCAGTTTCTTAGTCAAAAGTCAGAGATTTTGCCATATCTAGTATTACCATAATTGCAGTTTATGGTAATGCCTCAATAAATATTGAATGGGACCCTAAGTTATATATTGTTAAATGTTAGTTTTATGAGTGTGAACTTCTGTTTCTGTCTGTGAAAGAGTAACCAGTACAGGACTTGCCCTCTTTCCATAAACAATTAAAAAATTGGACAAAGTATATGAAACAACTGTTTTCAAACATTGGACAATAGCAGCACAGGACTCCGGTCCCTGAGAGAAGGGAAAGAAAAGAGATAAGCAGAATGATGACCCTACTTTTTGCCTGGAGGAAGTTTCCAGATGATGACCCAGGGAGAGGGAACCCAAGAAAGCCTGTCACATTGAGTTGAGGAAACAGAGATAAGAGCTTAGAGAAGCAAGATGACTGGAGTTTGTATAAAGAAGACCTCTGTAGAAGAGTCCTCCTTGAATGTTTGGTGAAATACTAATCTGCATGAGTGTAGAATGAAATTGAAATCCATCAGACTGGACAAAGAGTAACTGTGAGAGACCTATAAGCTGAACAATTCCCAGCGCCCACACAGAGCTAGGAATCATTTGTGTTCCTACTATAACCAGAGTGAAGAGACCTAATTGAATACCTAAGGATTTTACTGAAGGTCAGGCCTTGGATGGGAGGATAAAGTACCTGTAGACTAAGGGCTGCTCTATAACTGCCCTGAGAGTGCAACTAGCCTTGGTAGGATCCCGCTGATCTGTAAGTAACTTAACTGCCTTCTAAAATAAGCCTCAATACACATAAAGGAAGACAACAAAATCTAAATATTCAGAAATGTAGCTTATGTAATATCTAGCATCAAATGCAAAAATTAGCAGATATTCAAAGAAGCATAAAATGTGACTCAGAGTCAGAAGAAAAATCAACCGGTAAAAACACACCTAGAGGGGCACCTGGGTGGCTCAGTTGGTTAAGTGTCAGACTCATGATTCTGGCTCAGGTCATGATCTCAGAGTTGTAAGATGGAGCCCTGTGTTGGGCTTCACGCTCAGCACAGAGACTGCTTAAGATTCCACTTGAGATTCCCTTTGCCCCTTCCCCCAACTCTCTCTCAAATAAATAAATGAGAACTTAAAAGTCTCACACACCTAAAAACCAAAGAGATGATAGTATTTAGACAATGGACTTGGTTTTTAAAATATTTTTCTTCAAGTTTTATTTAAATTCTAGGTGGTTCACATACAGTGCAATATTGGTTTCAGGAGTAGGATTCAGTGATTCACCACTTACATATAATACCCAGTGCTCATCACAAGTGCCCTCCTTAATACTCATCACCCATCTAGCCCATCCCCCACCCATCTCCCTCCATCAACCCTCAGTTTGTTCTCTATGGTTAAGAGTCTCTTATGGATTGTTTCCCTCTCTCTCTTTATTCCCCCCCTTCCCATATGTTCATCTGTTTTGTTTCTTAAATTCCACATATGACTGAAATCTTATGGTATTTTTCTCCAACTGACTTATTTCACTTAGGTAATACACTCTAGGTCCATCCACGTTGTTGCAAATGGCAAGATTTCATTCTTTTTGATGGCCAAGTAATATTCCACTGTATATATGTACCACATCTTCTTTATCCATTCATCAGTTGATGGACATTCTGCCTCTTTCAATATTTTGGTTATTGTTGATAATACTATATACATTGGGGTGCATGTACCCCTTCGAATCTGTATTTTTGTATCTTTTGGATGAATACCTAGTAGTGCAATTGCTGGATTGAAGGGTAATTCTATTTTTAACTTTTTGAGGAACCTCCATACTGTTTTCCACAGTGGCTGTACCAGTTTGTCTTCCCACCCAGTGCAAGAAGGTTCCCCTTTCTCCGCAACCTCGCCAATACCTGTTGTTTCTTATGTTGTTATTTTAGCCGTTCTGACAGGTGTGTCTTATCATGGTTCTGATTTGTATTTCCTGATGATGAGTGATGTTGAGCATCTTTTCATGTGTCTGTTAGCCATCTGGATGTCTTCTTTGGAAAAATGTGTATTCATGTCTTCTGTCCATTTCTTAACTGGATTATTAATTTTTGGGGGTGTTGAGTTTGAGAAGGTCTTGGATACTAACCCTTTATCAGATACAGACAATGAACTTTAAAACAGTTATTATAAACATTCCCAAGGATTCAAATGAAAACATGAACATAACAAAGAAAAAAGTGTAAGGCTTAAAGAAGACCCAGTGAAAATCTAGAGCTGTAAAATTTGTGTTTTTCAAGGAATTTGTCTATTTCATTTCAATTGTCTATTTTTGCTATAAACTTGTCCAAAATATTTCCTTACTATCTTTTAATATTTTTAGGTTGTATAATGATATCTATTCTTCCATTTTCCATACTGGTAATTTATGTTTTCTCTCTTCATTTTTCTTGATCAGTCTAGTTATAGCTTTATCAATTTTATTGAACTTTTCAAAGAACAAATTTTTGTTCTTTAAATTTTCACTATTTCCCTATTTTTTATCTCATTTTCTGTTCTATTTTTTAAAGACTTCATTTATTTGAGAGAGAGAGAGCATGCCAGAGAGAGAGAGAGCATGAGCAGGGTGTAGGGGCAGGCAGAGGGAGAAGCAGACTCCCCGCTGAGCAGGGAGCCTGATGTGGGACTTGATCCCAGGACCCTGGGATCATGACCTGAGCTGAAGGCAGTCGCTTAACTGACTGAGTCACCCAGGTGCTCTCATTTTTTGTTCTTGCCCTTATTTCCTTTCTGCTACTTACTTTTCATTTAATTTGCTTCTTTTCTTAGATGCTTATGGTACAAGTTTAGATCAGTTATTTAGAAGAGTCTTCTTTTTTTTTTTAAAGATTTTTATTTATTTATTTGACAGAGAGAGACACAGCAAGAGAGGGAACACAAGCAGGGGGAGTGGGAGAGGGAGAAGCAGGCTTCCTGCTGAGCAGGGAGCCTGATGCAGGGCTCGATCCCAGGACCTTGGGATCATGACCTGAGACAAAGGCAGATGTTTAACTGACTGAGCCACCCAAGCACCCCAGGATGTTAGGCTTTCTTAATGAATTGACTGCTTCATCATTATAAAATGTCCCTATTGTCCCTAGTAATACTTCTTAAGTCTGTGTCATTGGATATTAATATGATTACTCCATCTTTCTTATGAATGGTGTGTGCTTGGTGATATTGTTTTCCATTCTTTTACTTTAATCCATCTGTTTATATTAAGGATGGTTTCTTAGAGCACATGGTTGGGTCTTTCTTTTTTCATTTGGTGTGACAATCTCTACCCTTTTAAAGGATGTGTTTAGTTCATTTATATATAATGTAATTATTAATATTTGTTTTCTATCTGTTTCCTCTGTTCTTTGTCTCTTGCTTCCTCTTTTCTGCCTTCTATTGGCTTGAGTGTTTTTTAGTATTACATTTTATCTTCTCTTGGCTTTTTAGCTATTTTTTATTTTTTAATGTCTTCTCCAAAGTTTATAATACTTATCTTTAGCTTAACACTAGTGTCAGATAATGCTATACCAGGATACAAAGTTAAAATACAGAAATCTGTTGCATTTCTCGACACCAAAAATGAAGCAGCAGAAAGAGAAATTAAGAAAACAATAATATTTACATTTGTACCCCCAAATAATAAAATAACTAGGAATAAACTTAACTAAGGAGCTGAAAGACCTGTACTCTGAAAACTATAAAAGAACTTGAAGATGACACAAACAAATGGGAAGATAGTCCATGCTCCTGGATTGGAAGAACGAATATTGTTAAAATGTCCATACTACCCAAAGCTATCTATAGATTAATGCAATCCCTATCAAAATATCAGTGACATTTTCCACAGACTAGAACAAATAATACTAAAATTTGTATGGAACCACAAAAGACCCTGAATAGCCAAAGCAATCGTGAGAAAGAAGAACAAAGCTGGAGGTATCACAATTCCAGACTTCAAGTTACATTACAAAGCTGTAATAATCAAAGCAGTATGACACTGCCACAAAAATAGATACATAGACCAATAGAACAGAATAGAGAGCCCAGAAAAAAAAACAAAACATGAAAGCGGCAAGAACATACAATGTGGAAAAGACAGCCTCTTCAACAAATAGTGTTGGGAAAAATGGACAGCTACAAGCAAAATATTGAAACTGGAACATTTTCTTACAGCACATGCAAAAATAAGTTCAAAATAGATTAAAGACTTAAATGTGAAACCTGAAATCTTAAAACTCCTAGAAGAAAACATAGGCAGGAATTTCTTTGATATTGGCTACAGAAACATTTTTCTAGATATGTCTCCTCAGGCAAAGGAAACAAAAGGAAAATTAAATTATTGGGACTACACAAAAATAAAAGGCTTTTGCACAGCAAAGGAAACAATCAACAAAACAAAATAATCCAACACCCAAAAAACCCCAGTAATCCAATTAAAAATGGGCAGAAGACATGAATAGAAAAATTTCCAAAGAACATACAAATGACCAACAGACATATGAAAAGATGCTCAACGTCACTAATCATTAGGCAAATGCAAAT